GAGAGGGAGAGAGATAGGACAGGATAAAAAAGAAAAAGGAAGAGTGGAAGGAAAGGAGAACGGGGGTGGGGTGTGACGGTGTTAGCACCGGCGATGGTGGCTTAAACGAGAGAGGAGGGGCGAGCTTTCTTAAAGATGTGAGCCGGGGAGCACTTGTTGCGCGAAAAGGAGTACGATGCCAAGGAACGGGCGTGTGCAACCTCGTGATACCGAAAGATCGAGGGGGTCACCCCACGCGGGGCTACCCTTAATCGACGTGAATTATCCTGAAAAATTTATTGATTCCGACACGGAAACTTGCGTTCAAACATTACTGGTGCTTTACTCGAAATTGACGAAGTTTACCAAATTACTTCAAATTTGTCAATAGAGATAAACGATCGATTACGTGTAAATGAAGTTCCTCGTTCACGGAGGTCTACGATGACATTACTTAACGATGACGTTACTCAATGTGACAAGATTGAAGATTGGATGTAATAGAGACCATTTTATATGTGATATTGTATGAACACGTGTGACACTGTGTGAACATAGGTGACACTGTATGAACAGGTGTGATACTGTATGAAGACATGTTTACTGTATGAATACATGTGATATTATATGAACACATATGATAATGTATGAACACATGTGATACTGTATGAACATAGGTGATACTGTATGAACACATGTGATACTGTATGAACACATGTGATACTGTATGAACACATGTGATACTGTATGAACACATGTGATACTGTATGAACACATGTGATACTGTATGAACACATGTGATACTGTATGAACACATGTGATACTGTATGAACACATGTGATACTGTATGAACACATGTGATACTGTATGAACACATGTGATACTGTATGAACATAGGTGATACTGTATGAACACATGTGACACTGTATGAACACATGTGATACTGTATGAACACATGTGATACTGTGTGAACATACGTGACACTGTATGAACACATGTGATACTGTAATAAGTGTCTTTAAGCAGAGACCTGATACAACACAGAATACTAGTGCTTTAAAAAGAAGAAGTCGATGATTTTAAAAAGAACAATTTTGTACTAGTTGAGAGATTAATGCGTTTTTAAATCGAAGCACAGTGCTTATCAATCACGTGGTTGTTTCAGAGTAGCGGAGGTGAGGAAGAAAAACGACGGCAAAGAGAGATTTGACGTTGCAGGAAGAAAGGAGGGTGGAACACGAGCCGGGGAATCGAATTGATTCTCTTTTATGGGCTCGCGTTACTTTTCTTTACCGTCTAGCCATCCTTGCCTCTTGACCGGACCCTCCTTTCTCTCTTTCATCTCGCAACGACCTCTCTCCTTCGACCGTGTTATTTATTTATCAGCTCTCGCACGTAGCTCTTCTCATTCTCGTGTAAAGGACCTCACGAGGCTGCTTCTCGACTAAAGCCCCGTTTCCTTCCTTTTTTCCTCCTCGATCGCCTTGTACCAGCTTCTCTATTTCGCTTGCTCGTGAAAGGCGCTTCGCGTCGACGCGAAGAATCGGCACTCGCCAATTGCAGAACGGAGAAAAGACTTATTGAGATTCCTTGCGGACAACAATGCGCTTTAAGACGCTCGATCGATATATCGCTTGTGATCGATAGTATAATATCCGGTAGGTGGACAAAGGATTATGGGGGATACTATGTCTATAGATCTGATAAGAAATTGCTTAGGACTTGTACCATTGGGGGACAGAAAGCACTCGAGGAAAATTATTTACATTTTCTATATTTGTCATTCAGTAATTTATCACAATGTTTCTGACAAATTGTAAAGAAAAGAATAATTATGAAAATTCAAGTAGAAGCAGTCTGAGAGTAATCTTTAATTGATTTCACTAATATAATACAAAAATGTATAGTAATTCAGATGAGACAGCTTGCGCAACAAATTTAAAAATAATTTAAGTAACTACACAGAATTGGACATTATTATATTTTTAAAATAGAAACAATAAAGCAGATCATATTTGAACCAAGTTATTCCAGCTAATTACTAGTTAGCTCTAAAAAAAGTACAAGAAAAGCGAAAGAGGAAACATCTCTCATCTCTCGAGCCATAACCTAAAAAGAACTAATTGCGCACAAAGGGCTGTTTACTAGAATCGAGCATCATTTAGTCGGGATTACTCACTTCGTCGTGAGTTTGCAGCATTATTAATTGTCCGGGTTTCCATCGATCGACGAAGTAGAAAAAAATTATTAATGATCGAAGTTCCATGGAAACCGAGGCTGATCCCTTCGTTCGCAAACTTGCTCTTCCCCTGGATTGGTTTACAAATTGCACAGGAACTTAGCCAAAATAATGGATTCCGGAATAAACGAAACTGACGATCGTAATTTAGACAGACACCCGTGGTATACTTTCGTCACGTGGTGAGCAACGACGAACGGATCGTGGAGTGGCAGAAAATCAATCCATAGACAGTTCGAGCGTTGCGAACAGACTCGAAGAGGGTATACTCGTCGAGAGAGGTCGCAAACGAACGGAACGAATGCACGTTTTAGTGTGGTTAACTGACATGTTTGGATCTGACAAGTCCAAACGATATGTTAGAGTTAGGTCGACACTCTTCTACGAAATTTGGGGGTCTGAGAGTTTGGTGACGTGAGAATTTGGGGATTTGAGGATTTGGGATTTGAGGGTTCGGTGATGTGAGAATTTGGGGATTTGAGGATTCGGTGATGTGAGAATTTGGAGCTCTGAGAATTCGGTAATGTGAGAATTTGGGGATCTGAGGATTCGGTGACGTGAGAATTTGGGGATCTGAGAATTTGGAAATGTGAGAATTTGGTAACGTGAGAATTTGGTCATGTGAGAATTTGGGGATCTGAGAATTTGGTCATGTGAGAATTTGGAGCTCTGAGAATTCGGTGATGTGAGAATTTGGAGCTCTGAGAATTCGGTGATGTGAGAATTTGGGGATTTGAGGATTCCGTGATGTGAGAATTTGGAGCTCTGAGAATTCGATGATGTGAGAATTTGGGGATCTGAGAATTTGGAAATGTGAGAATTTGGTAACGTGAGAATTTGGTCATGTGAGAATTTGGGGATCTGAGAATTTGGTCATGTGAGAATTTGGAGCTCTGAGAATTCGGTGATGTGAGAATTTGGGGATCTAAGAATTTGGAGCTCTGAGAATTCGGTGATGTGAGAATTTGGGGATCCGAGAATTTAGTAACGCGACAATTTGGAGCTCTGAGAAATTAATAATACAAAAATTTGAAAATTTGATAACCAGAGCTCAACACCAACCTCATGAACTGGTGTTAAATCTATAAACGCACATTTCGACAATCTAAAACAGTAAAGTCTCAATGGTCCCAAATGTGATTCTCATTGCGGTGCAACGCCATGAATGTTTACACGCTCGCAAAGAAAAGGACGGTAGGTTTCCAGCGGAAAATCCAGCTCGAAGGCGGAAATCAGATTGGTCCTCTAAAAAGAGAAGACAGAGAAATAATCTCTCCCAGGAGGAAGTCACTTTATTGGCCGAATACTTTCTGTTCCCGACTGGAAACCCGGTGACGATTCTCATTTTCTCGCTTGCCGTTCAACCACGCAAATATTTACTCGGCTAAACGCACTTCCGTTTTTCCCTGCAGCGCGAAACAGCCCTCCCAGTGGTATTGCTTGGGTAAAATGGCCGACAATCGAACACTAATTCTGGGAAATTACAGAAAAATATGTTCAATCTGCGGTTCTTTATCTTGTCATTCAAAAATTCAGTATCAGCAATTAGGGGTGTAGATGTAAAAAATAAACTTTTGCGAATTCCTCGTTATCCATCGCTCGTATGAAAAAAATTATTATCACAGAATTTGTAGCTTAAAAAATTCTCTATAAAAATAGTTCTACACATTCTCATCGTACAAGCAACCCTTCTTGAGATAATCTCGTGTGAATAATCAATTTGTAATTCATGATGGCTTAATCCTGATTACTTAATCCTGATATGCTTAACCCTGAAGGCGAGGTAGGAATAATGAGGAATGACGTCAGATTAGTGTCTAGAGATCTTCTAGAGATGCTACGTTTAAATAACCGCGTTCAGCTGCATTAAAATGGTGCTGAAAGAGTGGGGGTGCGTGAGAGTCATGAAAAAGTATAAGGGGTGAGAACTTCCAAGTGACCATACACGAAAACGATTGGTGCTATGAAAAAATTGTATGAAACCTTTTTTGTGCAGAATTTTCTAAGCTATAAATCTTGTCGTAACCATTTTTGTAGTAAAACTGACAAGTAACTAAATATTCGCTGATAATTGTTTTGACATTTGGCCATCCAGTTATATTTATAGCAAAAGTGACTATGCATAAAAACGATTGGTCCCATGAAAAAAGTGTATGGGACCTTTTTTGTACAGAATTTCATAAGCTACAAATCTTGTAGTACCTATTTTTGTCGTAAAACTGACGAGTAACTAGATATTCGTTGATAATTATTCAGACACTTAGTCATCGAGTGATATTTGTAACAGAGGTGACCATACACGTAAACGCTTGCTTCTATGAAAAAAGTGTATAGAGCCTTTTTTGTACAGATTCCCTAAGCTACAAATCTTGTAGTAACTATTTTTATCATAAAACTGACAAGTATCTAGATATTCGATGATAATTGTTTAGACATTAAGTCGTCGAGTGATATTTGTCTTAGAGGTAACCATACATGAAAACGATTGGTCCTATGAAAAAAGCGTATAGAACCTTTTTTGTACAAAATTTCCTAAGCTATAAATCTTGTAATAACTATTTTTGTCGTAAAACTGACAGATAACGAGATATTCGCTGTAAACTGTCTTGATATTTGGTCATCCATGTTAGAAGTAACTTTGTATTGTTTCAAATAAAGAAAAATGTGAATCGATAGAGAGATACATATTGCAGAGAATTATTGAATAGTAAAATTCTAATTTCCGTGGATACACGGACTGGCGATTCCATCTCCATAGCCGGAGATTTGTGTTCTTACTTACCACGGACAAGGATGAGGGCGCTGGACAGGAGAACGATTCTCAGCGGCCAACTGGCCATCCTGGCGTAGACCGTTACGTCGATTCAGCTTCCTCCTGAAACAATACAAGCGTGCCCAATCAATCAACCCATCCATCCCAATCCGCTATCCGCGTATCCTAGCCAACTCCACAGCCTGTCTTTCTCTCTTCTACCCCCCACTCGCGGCTACTCGTTCATTGTCCCTCTCTGTTTTATCCACCCCTTTCGTTTCCCTCTGTTCCATTGCATGGCCATGATCGGCACCTCATCCCACCTTTCGCCCCGTCCTTTCTGGCAGACTGCCCGTTCTACGTTCACCCTTTCGCTTCCTGCCCAAACCCTAACTCCGTATCGACGATTTTTTTCCTCTCGAATCCGTGCCTACGGGGTTTGTCCGCTCAATGAAAGTCCTCCCAGACGGTGCGCGTTCCGCGACGTACATAATCATAAAACACGCGACGCGTACACCTGCCAGCCAACAGTTTTTCTATGCGCGTCGATACTTTTATTCTTTATCATCTGTTGTTTTTCAACGGGGGACTTCTGTCTATTCAGACCGGGATGAAGCGAGTGTTTGACCGATAGGCTGGAAAAATGCTTCCCAAATTTTAGCGTATAACGTCTTAGGTTATTAATACTATGTTGGAGTATAATTGGGGAAGTTCAAGGTTAAGTTTGTGAATGAAGAATTGAAATTTTCAAATTTTCGGATTTCCAATAGTCCAAGTGAAGCTCTAAATTTCTTGATTACAGTCCCGATAATTTCCAATTACATTCTCTGATCCCCAGTTCCCACATTCTCTAATTTCCAGTCTGCCTCATTTCCAAATTCCCCGATTCCAATCTCCCTAATTCCCAAATTCTCGAGTTCCTATTCTCTGTAATTTCCAAATTCTCGGATTCTAATCTCTCGAATTTCTACATTTCCCAATTCCAAATTTCTGAATTTCTCAATTCCCCAATTCCAATCTCCCGAATTTCTAAATTCCCCAATTCCAAATTTCCGAATTTCTAAATTCCCTAATACCAATCTCCCGAATTTCTAAATTCCCCAATTCCAAATTTCCGAATTTCTCAATTCCCCAATTCCAAATTTCCGAATTTCTAAATTCCCCAATTCCAATCTCCCGAATTTCTAAATTCCCCAAATTCAAATTTGTGAATTTCTAAATTCCCCAATTCCAAATTTCCGAATTTCTCAATTCCCTAATTCCAATCTCCCGAATTTCTAAATTCCCTAATTCCAATCTCCTGAATTTCTCAATTCCCCAATTCCAAATTTCCCAACTTCTCAAACTCCTAATTCCCAAATCCAATCCTACATCTCCCAAATTTCATAATTTTACACAAATTCCTAACCTCCACATCTCCAATCTTCCTAATTTCCTCCCTCTTTCCCACTTCCACCCAAATTCTCAATATCCCAAATTTCCAAATCCCCAAATTCTCCATCCCACATACCTCCATAAAAATACAGCAGAGTATTTCCCCAAGTAATTTTAAATCGATCGTTCGATAGCGACCGATTAGGAAGTAGAAAGTTATAAAGTACGGTCTTGATTTTATTTTAATAAAGACTCTGTAAATTGCAAAGCACTTTGCTAAAACGATCGCTTCGAAGGAAATTGCTTTTAGCGCCACAATTTCGTTCGTACACTTGGGTCGCCATGTCGAGAACAAGCCTGTCAGATGGCGAGGTTTCTTCTGCGATCTTTTAACTCGATCACGTTTTACACGCCGTCACTTCAACCGTGGATCCTCGTTTTCACGAGTTACACTGATTTCCCTATACGGCGTACGTGTTCCACATTCCGTAGAAGGTATTGGTTCTCCTTCAGGCGATAAACTTGACAAATGCCACTCTGGAATCACGTTAATAAAGCGGATCGATCCTTCAGCTTCTACTTTATCGGTAACATCGCAGTTAATTAATTCCAAAGAGTTCGATCCGCCATTTCCTACTTTCTTCGCGAGGAGGAGTCGTTTCCATGTTCTATAATAGTCGCTACGTTTCACGATCAGCAATTTCTTCGTGACGGGGAAATGGTGTGTCCATTCCCGTTCGTAAACTTAATTGTGAACGGTGGAACTGCCTCCAGGTTCCGTTTCATCGGCACTCGGATAAAGGCAATTCTGCCTGGTCGCGAGAACTATGTTACAGTGGACCCTGATTCGACCTCATCGACGATATACTCTCTGTGACCTAATCGACTTCTTCCATTTTCGACATACACCTTCTTTAATCTTCTCGACGTTTAAAGAACTGTACAACATACATTCACATCACAAATATGTATATTTTTATGGGAAACATTTTTAAGGGACCTCATGACCTCATGTAGGAATATTGGACCTTGTATAGGATTATTTGTAAGCTTTCATAATTGTGTTCATGCTGTTTAGGATTTATTTTTGTGAATTATTGACCACGTTGTGTAGGTTGACTAGGTCTATACTATTAGACATACATGTATAAATTATTTGCATTTTGTTCAAGGTAAGGGTCATCGTCTACCACATTTTTATAAGTGACCAATGCACATCTGACTCTATTAGACACATGTATATGTACATCCTTCTGATGAGGTTAGTTTTATAAATCCAGACAGTCTTATGACCTTTTCTAAATTTTGTTCAACTGTGTCCAAAATAAATCATTCATTATCGACCACATTTTTAGAAGTGATCAATGCACAACTGTCCTCATTAGACATATGTACGTTTTGTTCAGGTACAGACAGTTTTATGACTCCAGACAGTATTATATTTTTTTCTAAATATTGTTCAATTGTGTCCAAGATAAATCATTCATTATAGACCACATTTTTAGAAGTGATCAATGCACAACTGTCCTCATTAGACATATGTATGTTTTGTTCAGGTACAGACAGTTTTATGACTCCAGACAGTATTATATTTTTTTCTAAATATTGTCTCAATTGTGTCCAAGATAAATCATTCATTATAGACCACATTTTTAAAAGTGACCAATCTAAAACTACTCCATTAGACACATGTATATTTTGTTCTGGTGCAGACAATCTTATAACTATAGACACTCATGTAACTTTTTCTAAATTGTCTTAATTGTGTCCAAGGTAAATAGACTTATCATCAACCACATTTTTTACAATGATTAATGAAGAACCATCCCCAATAGACACATGTATATATCCTTCTGGTGCAGACAGTTTTATAACTGCAGACAGTCTTGTAGCTTTTTCTAAATTGTCTTAATTGTGTCCAAGCTAAATAGACTTATCATCAACCACATTTTTTACAATGATTAATGAAGAACCATCCCCAATAGACACATGTATATATCCTTCTGGTGCAGACAGTTTTATAACTGCAGACAGTCTTGTGACTTTTTCTAAATTGTCTTAATTGTGTCCAAGGTAAATGCACTTTTTATCTATTACATTTTTTGTAATGATTAATGAAGAACCATCCCCAATAGACACATGTTGTATATCCTTCTGGTGCAGACAATTTTATAACTGCAGACAGTCTTGCGACTTTTTCTAAATTGTCTTAATTGTATCCAAGGTAAATGCACTCTTTATCTATCACATTTTTTGTAATGACTAATGGAGAAGCATCCCTATTAGACACATGTATACTTCATTCTACAGACAGTTTTATAACTGTAGACAGTCTTACAACATATTCTGAATCCAAAATAAATCATTCATTATCGACCACATTTTTAAAAGTGTTCAATGCAGAACATATATCAATATGAATCAGTAAAATTGTCAAGCTGAATTACAAAGTTTGAAAGTGGTCCATCTCTAAATTAGTTAAATGTACAAATTGGCTCCGTGAAGCACGCGTGGACCCAGCCGCGATATCGATCTGCACGTCCAAGCAAATTGGCTGTGAAAATATCGCGACAGCTAAAAAGAACGGCTCGCGGTAAGAAACGCGAAAGTTGGCGCGATAAACCGGAGTCCGTTAATCGCGCAAAAGAGCGATAAAACGAGCGACAAAATTCGAGCGTCCTCATTTTCTTTTTTCCGAGTACGCGTTTTTGTTCGCGTTGATCGAATCAGCGCGTTTTTAATCGCTGAAACAGAAGGTATCTTTCCGAGCGGTTTCGCAGAGTAAAAAGGGGGATAGGGGATAAACGAGAGGGAAGATGGAAGAGCAGTTAGGAGCCAGGAGGACAGGAGATTGCATATGACATTTGAATGTGGGTGAGATCGACTAGATGGTTGGTTGGAGCGAAGGTTGGAGGGTGCAGGTCGTCTCTGTCGGGCTCTGGGAAGAGCGAGCGTAAGACTAGAATGAGGGGCAGACGTGACGGCGGGACCGTGAAGCGAATCAAACGATTTTACGCTCCAAATTCCCGGCTCTTTGAATCAGCCAGCGTGGAGAAGCCTGTAAGAAATGGCAAAAAGTACCAGTTATTTCGTTTCCCGCTCAAGTATTCCCGTATCGAGTCACTTGTTCTACGCGATCGAAAATTACGGGTCAACGAGATGCGCCAAACACGTTCGATCTTCTCCTTCTTCTTCGATTAAAAAATATTTTAGGTCCGCATATTTTTCGAACTTTCGAAGTTTCGCGGCTGATGCACGTGGTGCTCGAGATTCTCGTCTTTGTTCGCGAACTTTATGAACGGTTTTGGAATTCTTATTTTGCGGGAGATGAACATTAATATTTCTCTGACAGGTTCTCTGTCATGAAGAAATCGCAATTCGTGAGATTAAATATCTAATTAATTTTTGCATACGTGTTTCACATGGAGGGATTACATCAGCTAATATGAACGCTATTGAAATCTTAACATATGGACAGTTCACATATGCACAATATATCTATACATTATAATTTAAAACTAATTTTCTGTGGACTTCGTGGAATCCGAACGCTTCCAGTTAAATCTTTTGATTTAAAAAATGAACTCCGTGGTTGTTGATCGACATCTCCATACATTTTTAGTTCCAAGAATTTCGCCGCACAAAATAGGAATTTATCATTCCCGGAATCGACCCGCGTTATTTCAAGTATATTCTATCGTGAGGTTTGGTAGAGGGCGAGTGGCCATTAATGTGCAAAATCGTATTTG